AGCAAGACTCTCTTTACATCTACGTATCTTATATATTTTTGTGTGTTTGTACAACTGAAATATTTGTGACTTGCTAATATATTGAATATATTTTTTAACCGGATATTTTTATTTACCTTGGTCTACGGACAACAATACAGCATATTATTATCATTAAATATATATTTAATGATAATAATATGATACAATAATTCGTATTTAATACTTTACCACTTTATTGTATTGATAAGTTAGGTCAGACAACTTTATGTAAGGTGGAGATTTCTATTCTGAATGCCAGGTTCATGTTGAGTGAATACTCCTTGGTAGTGTCTTATAAAATAGTGTAAGTGTTTATCCTTGTATTTGACATAAATTTAAAAACAGTATGCTTCAATTTCAATGAACAAACAAGCAGAGAGCAATGACCATGCCTTTAACAAGAGGCCGATGGCTTTATAGACTTTGTGGTCCAAGGTTGGACAAGACTGGTCAGACCCAGATCTGCCCTCATTCCAGAAAGAGTTGCATAACTTGGCATTGTGTTATTTGGCATGGCATTTCATTGAACACAAGGAAGTAGGGAAATAACAACTGCCCTAAGCATAATCTGCTATCAAGGAAAGAATGACAGAATACTATTCCATGACAATATGCTAAAACTAATCTCTGCTTTTCTATTTTTTTACAGCAGACAGTGGAACAATGGCGCATCATCTTCATGATAACAGCTGGCATGTATGCTGTTCAAGTTATAGTGTTCACAGTTTTTGGATCTGGTGAAGAGCAGACTTGGAATAAAATCAGTGACTTTGATGCTGATTCTGAGGCAGTACCATTGCATGATGACAATGTGCCCAGCTATGACACAACTCCACACTGAGTTGACCTGATCTTCTGTGGGTTTGAAGTTTGCCCCAGCCTCAAATTTAATTTTCAAGATTTTAATTGAATGTTGTGGAACTTTTGGTGTTTTCTGAGGATAACCCTGGTCATATATGCATTTCAGTTTCAATATTCTTTGGTGGAAGAAAGCTGGAAACTTGGAAAGACAAGTGCTCAAGAACACTATATCTGTTTAACATACCTGGCATGAAATACAACTATAAGCCACTTGTGAGCAAAAAAAAATGTCTTGAGTAATCTGAAGTTTGTCTCTGCTGACTGTGGATTCTTTAACTTGAACATTAGAAAAGCTTATTTGCGCTTGAAATGAATTGATGTGGAAATATATTGATGTTTGAGATTGGACAGTTGGCCATAATTCACCTTCAGCTGGCTGATGATTTTATGTGTTGCTAACATGATGCACATAACTTAACTGCAACGTTTAAACAGTTTATTTTGTATTTTTACTATATTCTATTCAATTCTTGTGGCTCTTGAATCCACAAGATAAAAAATGATCATGTCAACCTCATATTATGGCCGCTATACATTCCACAGTGTTCAGAAAAGGCCATTGTTGAGATGTTTCAAGCAAAAAATATGTTGCATCAACAGCTCCTCAATTGTTTGTTGCCAATTTGGAATGTGTCTGCTGTTTCAGTCAAATGATGCATCCTATCAATGCACAGTAATTTTAAATTTTTGCAGCATTTTGTCTGTAAAGTATGGTCTTGAACAATTTCACAAGTATTAACAAGTTTACATATCAATGACTGTACTGGACTCTACATAGTCTACAATGAAATTCAACTGATTAGAAAAATATGTAGTAGAAAAGAATCTTTTTGTAGAAAACCCCTATAAGTAATCTAAAAAATGCCTGATGTTATGTATTTTTCTTGCCATTGTTAGTATTCATTCATCCTCTCTAGTGCTGAATGACAGTCTTTGATTGTATGATATTCTTAAAAAACATTTTCACTCTAAGTAAGAGGCTTTTAGGTTAAAACCAAGCTAGTGGTAGTGCATTGAAACCAGTTTTCCAAAGTTCAGTCAGCATTGGATGCATTCAATTGTATGCCCAGCATCCATTAATGCAACAAATTTCAGCAGACAACCTCTGCACCCTACTATAGCATCTCCTGAGCTAAAATGCAGTCATCCCCTGCACAATGGACCTCCCACACAGCAGATTTTTGCACAACAGACTGCCACTGGAGGCATTTTTACCTCTTGCGCAATGGACTGAATCCACATAACAGACTTCTGTTGGTTTAGAATCAATGGTAAAAAGTAGAACCACTAACTTTTTCATAATTGAATTTGCATAACAGACTTTTCACACCACATAGTAGTCTGTTGCACAAATCAAGTCTGTGTTGTGTGGGATTTTTTGATGTAACACTATGCATTCAACCCCCAATTTAGCATCCTTTCATGGTAATTTCTTTGAATTCAGTCTGTGTGGCACCAGCACATTCAGAATGGAATGTAAGTAAATGCTTATGGAGATCCTTCAGATTACACTTAACCACTGTGATATACTGTTAGGAAGAGGATGCAGTTCTACTTTTAGGGAATGTCATGGGTCCATTGTATCCCAGACAAAGAAATTGAATTGTGCAGCCACCAGAATGCAAGTTTTGAATAAGAACTCAAACTCTTTTCAGAAGAGTTCATTCTCATTGCCCATATCCTCACTTAGCTGTTTATGAAATGGTTGTTTGGAATGGCAGAGTCAATGGTAAGATTGGTTGGTTAGCTTGGAATAATGAATAACGTGATTTATGTTGAAAGGCTCTTTTAACACCAGGTTCTCTCTTCTTCTCTGAAAGAGGAATGCAAGCTTTTATAGCCAGGTGCTTGGACTGGGTCAGGAAGAAATCAGGTGATCTCCTGGCTCAGATTTGGCTGATTTCAAGAAAACCAAAGAAGTGATGAAGACTTCTTGGCGTTGAGTGTGGCTCAGTGAGTCTCACAAAAAACGGGATTTTGGCAAGGCTCACTGGCCTTAAGACTCAAAAAGTTTTACTGGTTGGTTGCAGCCAGATGCCAGAGCTGCACGGCTTTGGGACAAGACAGGTAACTCAAGAAGTCCAACACAAGTTTCCATTCATCACTTCAATTGTCCGATGCAGGGCCCCAGGCACAAAAAAATGCATCTCATTTATATCTTGACAGCATGAAGAGCTAATTTCAAAAGGCTGGCCTGATGACAAGTGCGCATTCTGAAATCCTTTTCAGCATTATAAGAAAACCCACAGGAAAAATTAATCACTCTCCGTGTTGAATTTTCATGCAAATTCACTGATTTAATCTGTTCATATCAATATGAACATACTGTATACTGTATTTCATTTCTGCATGCAGGAAATAATTTTCACCAATTTTCAGCCAGTTGAGCAGCAAAATTAGAGTAAACTGCATGTGCTTGAAAATTGAAGTTATGTTAAAAAATATACCAATTGAAAATGCTCAAAATACAAAAACCCAAGTACCAATAATTATTTTTTTTAATTTAGGGGTTTTTTTTAAGTGAAGCATAGGATACAGGGGCACTAAAATGTTCATTATTTTAAGTTAGAAGTTTCCCACATCTCTGCTGCTATTGATGAATAAACTGAGGGCTGTTTTTTATGCTTTTCATATCAATGTAACTGTGATTGTTAGGATTGTCATTCAAGAAATTAAGTACTTATGATCAAACAATTTTTAACTTTTGAGCACTGTGTGTGTTGAAAATTGTAAAGAAGAATCTTTTGAATTTAGAAACTATAATGATTCAATTGAGATAATCTGGTTTTGAAATGGTAGTACAGTATAATTTTTTTTTTTTAATTTGTTCATCGCAGTGAGAAAAAGAACCCTATCCCCTTCTACAGTTTTGTCTCCCTGCATAAAATGAAAGGAACCATCAAGTTATCAACGTTTAATCCACAACAGCACAAATGCCTCGAGATAAGCGATACAGTATTATTATTATAGCGACAGTGTCAAGTTCCGGGTAAATTTCTTATCGAAATACGAATTCATTTTTGCCTCAATTTCGGAGCATTATTCGTGCAAAAGATCTGATAAGACAGTGCCTATGCAGCCCCCTTTTAGGTTCTGTTTGCACTTGCCTTAAGAGACATGGATTCACTTGGGATTTTACTAGTGATTGCTGGGCTAGTGATTTGTGTGCCAGCAGCAGGAGCAGCAGCTGAGGAAGAGCTGGGCCATGCGGGGACCAATAATAAGGCCAGCATTTCCAACTGGTGTCAGTTGAACACGTTTTCCTGGGTATGGCAAGGTGATCAATCATTTATTCAACAATTTCCCTGTTTTTTTTAAACCATATTTTGATGAAGAAAACAAAATGGTGGAAATCTTTGGAATGTCAGTAGTGGATCTCATAGTCGGAAATTTTCTCCTCAATTGTATTATTTGAGCAAAAATGAAGTGGTTTTCATGTTGAAGTGTGTGGCATGGTTTTCAGCGCTGAATCTCATGTGAGGGCATGAAAACATTTGAAAAATGTGATGCGTTAACATTTGAAAAATGTGATGCTTCAATATTTGAAAAATGTGATGCTTCAATATTTGAAAAATGTGATGCTTCAATGTTTGAAAAATGTGATGTTTTAGCATTTGAAAAATGTGATGTTGCAACATTTGAAAAATGTGATGTGTTAACATTTGGAAAATATGATGCTTCAAAATATGAAAAATGTGATGTTTTACCATTTTTTTTAAAGAAAGCGGCGTCCTGGTAATATTAATGAAGATATAATTTTCATTCATGAATTAGAGAAATAAGGTCATTTTTTAAATCAAATTTGCGCAAGTTTTGCTCAATATTTTTTCTATTTCCTGAAAAGAATTCCACTGATTTTTTTTTTTTTACATGAATGTGGTTCAAGATGTTTTATTGCTCAAACAAACAAAGCCTGGTGAAAATGAACATGGTTGTGAAAGCCGCAAATTAATCAAAATCCATGATTAATTTTTCTATTTTAGTTTAAAATATAAATGCTACGTCTATTCGTTCATTTATCATCTATGAATGCACTGAAGCCACAAAAAAAAACTCGGAATTTTTAATATTCTGTTCTGAATCATTATTTGACGCCTGAATCAAGCAACGATGATTATTCATCGAAATAAATTTCGAACGTCACAATTTAAAAATCCTGCTATTGAATGAAAAGAATCACTTCGCAGCAGGATATAAAGACTGACACGAAGCACAATTTATTTCAAAATATAACCCTAAAAAAGGCAAGCAAATGCCTAATCAAAAGAAGCAGATCATCATTTAACTACAGAAGATAATTATGCATCATTCCAGCAGCCCCGAAAGTTCCATTCTTTGCTACATTTTTTTCATTCTAAAATCCAAAAATTTTCAATCACGAAAATTCGACAAGTCACGTGTCCCTGATCTTTTTGTTTTTTGTGTGTGAATTTTTTTTAAAGAAAGCTTCAACATGACAAGGAGAATTGCGGACGCCTTTTCTGAAGGAATGCACGGAACAATTGCTCTGAGCTCAGTAGTGAACACTGCTTTGGAAGACATGAACCTGGAAGGACTAGACGTGAGCATCCGAAGCCAAATTTATTCTTGCCAAATAAATTTAAATTGCAAATAGTCTGGGAAAATAGGAACTGCCTTTTGGAGAATACAGTGAGACCCCCACATTCGGACACCTTGACCTGCGGACAATTCAAAATGCGGACACTTATTTTCTCACAAAAAATTAATAAAAAAGGCACTACATGAGGACACTGACTCAACATGGGGACATTTTGTTATATATTGCAAATACATTTCAGGCCAAATTACAATAAGAAACAGATATTTCCAATCCTAAAATTGGTGTAAGAAAATTTCTTGGGCATTTCTCTCACCAATTCACCATACATTTAGCTGATTTAAAAAAATTACCTCCAGCATAAAGGGACTTCCTTCTCTCTTTTTCACTTGAATATTAATTTTACAGAGAGTGCCAATAACATTATATGTACAGTACAGAGGTATCAGTATTCAGTTCCCTGAATGCCCGTATTGTGTTGAAATATATTAATTGGAATCAGCTTAAATTGGGAGACAGTTTCTAATTTCATGGAATTATGGTGATTATTTTGTGCATAAAATACCAATTAAAAATTATATACTGTAAGTCTAAGGGAAAATGAGACTCAACTTGGGGATATTTTGACTTTCAGTCTCTATTTAGGCACCAATTACGTCCACATCTGGGGGTCTCACTGTATATGAGCAGGAAAAACAAACTTTGAAACCTGTTGAATGAAATGTAGATGATTTCCACGAGCCTGATTGACTGGATTGAAACCTGGATAAAGGAAGACATCATCCAGAACCTCATCACTCAGCTGGTGGAAGTGGAGGCGGAAATTGCTGTAAGCGGCCACCTTAACTCTTCTGAAAAATCCACCAAACTGATGAAGACATGAATAAAAAAAATTAAAAAAGGTTTCAATCGTGACCGGAACTGCAGTTTGCGATGGTCTCCTGCAGCAAGTGCAAAGCATCCTGACCCAGTTGATTAACCACGGGGTTTGCTGCATTCTCTGCGACGCTGCTTTCTGGAACCAGGTACATGAGTTCTTCCTCTGCAAAAAAATGTTTCCCATGTGTGTTTTTGGAAAATAATCCTTTTTCCTTAGGGTACAATTATTATTTTCATAAATGATTTTTTTTCCTCAATTCATTGAGGAAAGCAGCAAAGAATCCCAACCTTCACCAAGAACCAGTTCAGCTCAACCCTTTCTCAATGATGCATAAAAGCCTCAAAAACTTAAAATCAATACCACATTTTCATTCAGAATCTCATCCCAATTCTTAGCTTCCACTGCCTAAACCAATTTTCTGAGAAATTGCTAGGAATATGGTGTGTGTACTCTTCTTGAAGAAGATGCAGAGTCACTGGTTTTTTTAAAAATGTAAATAAGGGTCAATCTCTTGGAACCTCTATAGAGAGGCTCTATAGACAGGCTGATTTTGGTGCTTGCCTCATAAATTATCTCTGTTGGGGGAAATATACAGTCAATCCCCATCCCCATCTAATGGACTTGATTTGTGCAAGGGGTGAGTCTGTTAGACAAAAAGTCCTTTACACAAATTCAATTACATAAAAAAAGAAAAATTTCTATTTTCAACACTAATTTTAAACCAAAAGAAGTCTGTTTGGTGGATTAGAGGAAAAACTGCTTGCAGAGCTGGTCTGTTTGGCAAAAATCCCTTACACAAAAGGTCTGTTAGGCAGGGGGCCACTGTATACATAACAAGAATCAAGCATTTGTGTTGGGGAAAAGAAGATTACTTTCAGGTAAATTTAATTGAAGATATTCAAATCTTCAAATTGCTATTCATATGAGCTGAAAGGGGGAAGAACCTGGAGGCAAGGTGCATTTGCCCAATTGGTCCTTGATATTCCTTCAAAACTCATCAAGTCACATTTTTAAAACACTTTTCTCTTGCCTGTGTCACTAAAAATAAGCCAAATGGCCTCAAGGACATTTTACCAGGAAAAAATTTTAGGTACAGAGCTTTTAAATGCATTTTTTCTAAGGGAATTTAGACAGGGACAGGAAGACATTGATTTACAGAGGTTTCAAACCCCTTCACAACAGACCTCCTGCACAACAGATTTTTGCAATAGGGACTGCCTGTGAGAGCAGGTTTCCTTCCTGCACAATGGATTAAATCCACCAAACATACTTCTGATGGTTTGAAATGAATGGTAAAAAGTGACATTTTCAACTAGTATTAATTGAATTTGCATAACAGACTTTCCACAAACCAGACTAGTCTGTTGCACAAATTACATCCATTGTGCAGGGGTTGGCTGTACATTTACTTGGGAGGTCTGAGTTATCAGAGTTCAACTGCATTTATAAAAGATATTCATGTGCTAAAAGTGTAGACAGAAAATTACTAGCCCTATTTCATTCATTCATATTCATTGTTCAAATTGAGGACAATGTGTCACAGTTTCATACAAGTTTTGAAGGTTATTAGAGGCAAGCTCTTTGGTGATAGGCTCTCTATACCCATGCAGCACTGGTTTCAGGGATGCAGGGCATTTTATTAATATAATTTTTTAGGAATGCAAGCCTCAGTCCCCAACAATTCCATGACTCAAAACCTCCTTAAGTCACATTTTTGCTGGTCCTTTGGATTCCAGCAAATTTGTTGTCCGTAGACTGAGGTAAATAAAATATACAAATACAATAAAAATATATACTTTCAAATATATTCAATTTACGATATATTCAAACAATCACACAAACATAAAAATATAGAGCTTTTACAAGAGTCTTGCTAAAACATTCCGCAATAAGTCTCTCTGAGAAATAACCATGAATGACTCTAGATTAATTCTGAAGAAATATGTGGGAAGGAAGGTATATTTATATCTTCCTGGAAACATAGAATATAGAGGCTGAATATTTGCCTAGATTGAGGAACTGCGGGTTCCTTGAACACTGATGAATATATATACATCTGGGTATATATATTTAAATAAATAATATATACACTTGCAAGTTCAACAGAATAGGCTTCTTCTAAATTGGCAGTTTAGAAGAAGGCAGTGCAAGTAAGTTGTCACTGTTGACAAATAGGAAGTTTAAAAGGAGAAATGCGCAATAACAACCATCACGCATTAATGTGGGCTAACGTGAGAGAGAGGGAACCAAAACAAAAGGGGAACTGCTGCAAGGAAACAAATACCTTGTTGAGAAGGATCTCCTTCTAAATAAGGAGAAAAGAAAATAATTGCAATTTGTTTTCTGGGTTACAAATTTTAAAAAGTTTTTGAATTATTTAATGTTTAGAATAAAACAAAATAAAGTAGAATCCACAATTCAAGCAAAATTTGAAGCCTTGCTGAGAATATGCTGTCAAGTTTCAAAAAGTTTCTTATCCTTTCAATACTCAGGAAAAATTTGAATTGATAGCTTTCCTTTTTCCCATCATACAGAGACCAAAGAATAAAAAACTGATTTCTTTTGCAGAATGATTACACTCTTCATCACATCATAATGTACTACCCCAGTGAGCACAAAAATGTCTGTTTTGGGTCCCATTTTTATCCAAAAGCAACTTGTCCACAAATCTTGCCAAAAAAGTACAAGTTGCGGACGAGTTGCTTTGAAAAAACGGACCCAAAACAAACACTTTTTGGAGGGAGAGAGGGGCAAATTTTGGATAAAGAACGGACAAGTTTTGGATGATTTTGGGAGGGGAAAAGGACAAGTTGAACATATTTGAACAGAGATTTTAGAGAGAAAGGGTTAAAAAACAAAGGAAACAAAACATGTTGGTCAGCTGGGTAGCCAGCCTGTCCTTGTTTAATAAGGACTGAAGGATTTGAAGTTGACACTATAAGGACATGTGCTCTGTGTTTGTCTGGGCTTGCAACCAGCAGATTATTTGCAGGTGTGGGGAGAAATACCCCTTCCCACCTGCAATGTCTGAAAATCTGGCCACATTGCAAATAAGGACATGTGCTCTGTGTTTGTCTGGGCTTGCAACCAGCAGATTAATTGCAGGTGTGGGGAGAGATACCCCTTCCCACCTGCAATGTCTGATAATCTGGCCACATTGCATGAAGAGTGGATAGTTGAAGAAATATACAGAGAACTACAGAAAAAATGAAAGGCACTTTTTTTTGTGAGTGGGGTTGGGGTCATAAACAGGGATCACTGGGACTTGGGAAAATAAATATAGAAAAATAAAGGGATAATGGCTAAATAAGGGATAATAAGGGGAGAGACAAGAAAAAATTAAAGGCACTTTTTTTTTAGGGGGGTTTCATAATCAGGGATCACTAGCTGGCACTTGGGGATATGCACACACACCTGAATGCTGTGCTGAACTGGCACTGTTCATGCAGTGCAGCTGTGCTGTATGATCTTAGAAAACGGACGAGTTTTACAAACTCATCCGTTTCAGGAAGGCTAAAACGGACGAGTTTGTATAACTCGTCCGTTTTAGCCTTCCCATCTTGAAGATGGGAAGGCTAAAACGGACGAGTTTGTATAACTCCCGTTTTAAAGGCATTACAATTGGAGCCCATGATGTATCATGGGTGATGTGATGGGTGAATCACCCATGACCCATCATGGGTGGACAGTTCCATAATGCCCTGCAGGAGAAAGGGGTAAAATCCCAGTTATTTTGGCATCAAAAGGTAACCCTACACTGAATTTTGAATTTTTTGAGCCCTTCAGGAAACCTCACCCTTTATAAATGCATTACTAAGGCATCACAGCACAGATTTCCTTGAGATAAACATGGAGAAATTGTTGAGCTGTAAAAATCAGATCAAGACCATCCATCAGGCCACCCAGAAGACTTATCCATGTGGAAACTTATCAAGGCCAACAGTCTCAGACAGCAAGAAAAATTGTCAGTTGGCTGCCTGATTTCTGTGAGATTGGTTGTGCTTGTGATTTGGTCTCTGACAAGGAGAGAAAATGATTGTGAAATCTCTTCAAGAGCCTGGACTCTGGCAGCTGTGTGTCCAATGGTGAGCTGAAGTATTTCCAGTGAATATAGATGAATATTTAATAATAAATACCTACACCTGTAATATACTGGGTGTGGCTTGGCTGTATTGGTTATCCACATTTGTTTTTGCATGGCATGGCTGTAAAATTGTGAAGCCATACCATGCAAAAACTTTTGCAAAACAATTCAATTGGTTTTCTAAAAGTTTTTACACGGTGTGGCTGCACAACTGTACAGCCATGCCATGCAAAAACAAATGTGGATAACCAATACAGCCAAGCCACACCCAGTATATTACAGGTGTAGGTATTTATTATTAAATATTCATCTATATTCACCTGAATATTACATATTCTGATGCTGAGCTGAATACATCAGCTCACCATCAGGGATGCACAGCTCCTGCTGAGTCCAGGCTATGTTAAACATGGCACCATAGACTGTGAGAATCCAGGATGTGATAAAACTGACTGGGGTACATGAACTCCAGGAATGATTACATATTGTAGGTGAAAATGCTGTCTGTAGAAAACTATTTTATGTATCACAAAAAATGGTCCAAAATTTAAAAAAAAACACAGAAAATGGTGGATATTGGCATGCAAATATCTGCCATTTTGTGCATTAAAACAAAGGCATTTTTGCACTCACAGGATTTTTGTAGAGCAGAATTATTCTACCCACAGGATTCAAAAATCCAGTGAACAGAAACTCTGCCATACAAAAATCCAGAGGGTAAAAAAACTACACTGGTATGGCATTTTTTTCTACCTGTAGGATTTGCTGATGGAGCCCTGTGCTGCAAACTGTCTCTAAGAATGTGCATAATCTTAGACATAGTTGTAAACACAAGGCTCCACTGGAAAATACCCTGGTTACAAAAATCTGTTGGTCAGCAAAATTTTGCTCCACAAAAAATCTTGCCAGTACAACAATTTTTCCATTTAAAAAATCAGTCACAGATTGACCATTAAAATGAACTCAAAGAATCATGTTGTATAGGTGAAAAATTCTGTCTGTAGAAAAATATTTTCAGCCACATGCACAACATGTGGAGCAATATTTTTCTACAGACAGCATTCTTTGAGTTCATTTTGATGATCAATCTGACACTGATTTTTTGAATGGAAAAAGTGTTGTACTGGCAGGATATTTGTGGAGCAAAATTTTGCTGACCCACAATCTTGTAACCAGGGGATTTTCCAGTGGAGCCTTGTGTATACAACAATGTCTAACATTATGCACATTCTTATAGACACAGTTTGCAGCACTGGGCTCCATCAGCAAATCCCACTGGTAGAAAAACCAGTATAATTTTTTTACCCTCTGGATTTTTGTATGGCAGAGTTTCTGTTCACTGGATTTTTGAATCCTGTGGTAAAAAAAATTCTGCTGTACAAAAATCCTTTGGGTGCAAAAATGCCTTTGTTATTATGCACAAAATGGTGGATATTTGCATGCCAATATCCACCATTTTGTGTGTTTTTTTATTTTGGGCCATTTTTCATGATGGGTTAAAAATGGGGGAAATACCCATCAAAATAACCCCCTCAACCAGCCCATTACATACCCATTATTTTAATGCCAATTCCTCCCATTACTTCTATGCCCTATTAAACCATGAAAATAACTGTCCTGTAACCCATTATTGATGGTTTGAGGGACCATCACCTGTGATGGTTACAGATGACAGTTTTTCATGGGTTTTTTACTTATGAAAAACTTAAAAATTGTTTGCTGTGTTGAAGAAATAGATAGAGAACTACAGAAAAAATGAAAGACACTTTTTTGTGAGGGGGGTTGGGGTCATAATCAGGGATCACTATAGCTGGCACTTGGGGATATGCACACACACCCAAATGCTGTGCTGAACTGGCACTGTTCATGCAGTGCAGCTGTGCTGTATGATCTTAGAAAACGGACAGGTTATTTCAACTTGTCAGTATCCAGGAAGGCTAATACCACAAGTTTGTATAACTCATCCGTAGCCTTCCCATCCCTTGAAGATGGGAAGGCTAAAATGGACAAGTTATACAAACTCGTCCGTTTTAGCCTTCCCAAAATGGACAAGTTTGTACAACTCATCCGTCAGAGCACAATTTTTTATCCAAAAGATGTCCATGAAACTAATTTGGATGAGTTTTGGACATCTTTTGGATAACTTCTTGCTCACTGGGACAGTTGAACCTTGCTATAAGTCAAACCCCCTACATCAACTGCCTCAATGAGTCAATTTTTTTCAAGTCCCCCTCTGAATTTCCTGAGAAACAATGCTCGAAAAAGATGTTAACTCAATGTCTTTTCCTCTTGAACCACCATAAGTTGAATTTTCCGAGGGTTTCTCATCATAATTTTCTTGACAGGGGTAAGAGAAAAGCAATGAAAATGGTATTCATGTGTTGTGAACAGAAGTGAATGACTCACTGAGCAAATAAATCCTTGCCTCCAACTTCAGCATCCCATCAACTCATTTGAGTAAGCACAAAATATCACCGTTTACAAATAAATTTTTTCCAATTCTTCTATGTTTTTCATAACAAATATTCTTGGTTATGTGATGCAAACCTCTATGACTCAAAACCTCCCTGAGTCAAAGCTTCCCAGAGTCAAATTTCTGTGGGCAGTCCCTTGAAATTCAACTTAGAGAGGTTCAACTTATATATGGTTTACACATTATCAGAGTGCAAATTCAGCTGAATATTTCATCCCTATACAGGTTACTGAACTAGCTTGTGGAATTCTGCAAGGCCTAGGAGTAATTGTTGACACAGCAGGAGACAAACTGGCCAGAGTCACAGTGGAAAGCCTCACAGAAACCCTCACCAATGTCATCTTGGGCTTCAAAAATATCATCCTGGCAGCAGTAGAACTACTAGCAGTGAGGCCAGATATTTAAATAAAAATTTTAAAAATGCAGATCATCAGGAAATTGACATGAATAGTGTCTCTTTTGCAACAGCACAAGAGAGTGGATCATTCAATTGTGGTGGAAAGAGCATTGGCAGTCTGGACTAAATCCGTTTTGAATGCTGGTTTCTCGCAGCCCTGCTTGAACCTTGTCGACGAACTAATCAGTCATCTGTCCTATGTAAGGTTTCACATCATTTTTATTTTACAGGAAGCTGTATGTGTTCTTCATTGGAGTTACTTTCATGATGAATTGGAAAACATTGCTTATTGTCTGCCTTCAAAAATTCCTGCAATTTTTCTGTCTAGATTTTTGGTTAGATCACTTGAGTATTTGATTTTTCTGGATGGCTACGTTTAATTTTAAAAACTCGGATAGGCTTGGGCAACGAGCAATTGATCAGACAATGGACTAGATTGATGCACATTGATATTAATCTACAAATTCAATTGTGGTGAGAGGGTATTCATACTATTGAATGAAAATGAGTTTGGTTTGATGACATTGGCCAGGTTAGGCTTGGTTGAACAAGGTATTTTAGCCCCTAATTGGAAGTGGCTTAATCAGACTTTTAGCAAAATTATATGCTTGTTGAGAAGGATTGGGTAAAAGTAACTTCTTCACTCTCATTTTTCAATGGTGAAGAGCTAAAAAATATCCTGCCAGTCTTCTGCCCAAATCATGAATACAGTCAACCCTTGTCTAACAGATTTGATTTGTGCAAGGGACGAGTCTGTGAAACAAAAAGTCCTTTACACAAATTCAATTACATAAAAAATTAAAAATTTGCCCGTTGTGATATAAATATGCCCAAGAATTTGATGCAATTTTGATCATTTGAACAGGTGCAACCGTTTTCGACTATCTAATAAAATATAAATTACATGCGAACCGATGATGCCAAACGGACCCAAAGGATCAAGAAATCTCCTCTCAAGGAATTGTTGAAATTAGTTAAACATAACTTGCGACGGTAAGTTATACAATTGGAGAATCTAGAGACGTCTGGATTTAAAAGATTGGCGGACTAGATTTAAAAGACTAGAATTGGCGCAGTCGGATTTCCTTTTTTGACCCGGTTGAGTACACTAGAGTAACGCAACACCTGTTTGAAAACAGCGTTAAAGTTTTTTCATCAGTGGAAATTGCTGCTTGTAAACCTAACTGTATTTTTACTCCAAGGAAAGCAAATAAAAAAACACATCGGTAACTTTTTGAGAACACTCATCTTTCACTTCCAGGAATCTCTGACTTGAAATTCCAAATGCTAAAATCGATACAGTAAAATCTTGTTAAAACAAACTTATTAGGACTTCAGAAAAAGTTTGTTGCAGCAAATTATTTCTTATAATGAGATTTTGAATATTATTGACTGAATTGAAGATTTTCTTCAAATTAAATCTGCATATATTCAACATCTTCCTTTTGTCACGTTTTCAGGTGTTTTCCAATTGTTAAAATATTGTGATCTTCAAAAAGAAATGTAATTGTTAGTAAAAAAAACACAGATACTCCAAATAACAAGTGAACACTAGCACACTTTCTTGACTCCAAGTTTTTTAAAGCAATTCCTGCAAAGATTTGTAAGGGCAAATGTTCCAAAATTGCTTAAAATTTTCACCTCACTAGCATTTTTCAAGCATACAAACCCTTTTTAATATGAGTATTTCTGGGCTCATTTTTTCCCCATCTAACTGCCCCCCCCCCCTCCCACCATCCTTCCTAACATAAGAATAATTTTGGAAACAGAGGATTTTCAGGTGAACTTTGAAGAATTGTTGTGCTTGGTTCCACCTTATGTCCCAAAGAAACAGTCACCATAGTCACATTTGAAATAGGAAATGTCAGACTGTGCCTGCCTCCATTACAGATTTTTTTTAATCAAATTATCATAGAATATTCCTCAAAAAAGGTTGTTATACTGGAATTGCAGTTTGTTGTAATGAGATTTTTATGACATGAACCCTATTCTGCTGGGACTTGAAAAAAGTTTGTTATGCTGAAACAAAATTGTTGTAACAGTATTTGTTATAACGAGATTTATCTGTAACTGCCATTCTTTTTATTTATATGATGGGCAGAGCGCAGAGCTGATAGAATTGCAGATCCACTCCTCCACGGATTCCCTGGTCGACTGGGTCCTTCAGAGCACCTGCGCAGTGGAAAACACCAGAAACGTCATTGTCTTCGTCATGACTGACACCATCAATAACCTCTATGACACCTTCATTCGCATGACATGGACGACGATGATGCAAATGCAATCAGCAGCAGCGAAATTTGCCAAGGCACGGGCGACTTGCGACGACTTTGACGACCTGATCCCGTCCTGCGCTTCGACTGCGTATTTGCCGAACGCACTGTTTTACCCGTCGATACGCGAAGAAAACTTAGTGGACGTTTTATTGGCTGGATTGTACAAAACCGATGCATGATGAGGCCGCAATAAAAGTAGTTGAGTTATTTTGCTCCAAGAGCCTTCGATTCTCACAGAAAATTATGAAATAAATGTCCTGCAAGTTTGGCAAATATAATCTGGGAATCATCTATTGATGAAGGAGGATGAACTGCAGCCAATTTCTGCTACTGCTCATTGCTCATTACAAAAAGGCTGCAGAATTCGACACATAAAATGTTAGAGACTAAAAAGTCTCCACAAAGAAAATATGAGAATGATGAATAAAACACAACATTCAGCCTGGGACTGGCTGGGAGCCTCTTTAAAGAGGCCCCAAGAGTATTGAGTGTTTAATAATGTCCCAAAGAATAATGCAACTTAAATAATTTTGGACCTTGCACACACATTTCAAACAACACAATAATAAATTCAGATGTCTTAAGATGAGCTCTTCACACTTCAAGAATTGGCAGTGGAATGGAATTCATTGTTACNTTCAAGAATTGGCAGAGGAATGGAATTCATTGTTACATGTTCTTGGAGATAGAAGAAAGAGGGAAAAGTGGTTTTCCTTGTGGGCAAAATATTGGCCTCTGATTGGCTGATTTTGTTGGAATCAAAGACCATGCTGTGCATTGTCCTACAATTCCTTCGGGAATCGTTTTTTGGTGCTGGTGGCTTGGCTGATGCAAAGGACCAGTTTTTGAGATGCAGCTGGGTTATTATAATTAATATTTACAGGTGCCCGACTTGTTCCCCAAGAAATCCCCCTGGTTTTATCAAGACCCCCTTTTTTGAAAAAGTGGGTTTTGATAAAACAAAGAAATTCTTGATGAGGAGGGCTTTTAAATTATAATTTTGTGTGTGGAGTGTCATCAAAATTCTACTGAGAAGGTCCCAACTGTCACGGGTCGACTAGATGTTGCCTGCGCATGCCCCAATTAACTTGGGAAAACCAGGTGCCGCCGGAGTCAGCACAACAACAGAATGTACTAGAGTATGACGCGGCGTACAAAACGCTGCATTGTCCTTGTAACTTGGAAAAAGTATTCCTGAAAAAGGAGTAAGTATTAATAAATTATTATTTAATTATTTTTATCTTTAAGAAAACAAGATTCCTTGGAAACCTAACCACATCAGGGATAGCCTTGGAGATAATGATCTCCAAGACTTATTCCACTCTTGTGAATCATCATGATCATGAGAACTGAACAAATAACAATTGGACACACAGGCAGAAAGCCTTGAGGAAACTTTTCCACCAGAGGAGGACCTGAGCCTGCTCTTTTCAGTGTGGAATTTTGTCACTTATCATCTGAGCTCCAGAGAGAACAGACTGCGTATTTTTGTGTGCTGAAAATCATCTTGGAAATTTGTTGTTGGAAGTTTGAAGAACATACTCAAGGAGTTGAGGTATTTACCTCAGGCCGCAAACGGCCGATTGAGACTACATCATTTTATAATTCAATTCAACTGAACCGAAACATTAATCTTTGTCACTGAGGCTCATTAGCCCCTGACAAAAGTGGTGGCCAGTAAAAAACTATCTAAAAATCTCAAGATCAGAGTACAGGACTGTGAAAAAGTCTTGGAAAAATCGTTGAAGAAGAAATCCTTGGTGAAATCTCATCCAAGTCTTCAAAAAATTGACATCAGTGAGTGCAGTGAAGAAATTCTACACCTACAAGTATCATCATGCCTTGCGGAAAATCCACAACACCCGCCAGTGTTCCTTTCACCCGTACGCGGATGAGCAAACCGCCATCTTGCTACAGTGATCCGCCTGTAGCTGTGAATCGTGAAATCATTGACGCAGGTCGGCTACAATTACATTCCGGGAGAGCAAATGCTCCAACCCATGTACAACCCGCAAATTTGCCGGGTTTCACTCAACCTGAAGCATCAAGGAGCACACGACAACCCAGCAGACCGCCACGGCAACCCGTTGCTGCTCCTCTAAACCTGTCACCACCTCCATCAATGACGGGCATCTTGACATCAAGTACGTTGACCCAGTTTGATCCCAACCCCACCATCCAGCAGGTTGTGATTCTGGCGCACGCCACGTACTTGTGTGATGAAGCGTATAAACAACCACAAAGTGCAAATACGTATCAAACATTTGTGCAAAAACACCAAACGTTTATGACTGTGTCCATATACTTCATCTCGCTCAGACACCATCATTTCAAGGATGACGAGCAGCATCAGATCTTGCAATTATGCGAGGAACTGAATGCCATAATTCTCCAGACACCGGAGCAGCTCCAAACCAAATGGCCAGAATTGAGGCCTAAACAACCTTGTATCATGGGAGTGCAATTTCCAAATTTACCTTGCGTGCAACCAACCCCAGGTGTATTTACACCTCAGGAAAAGGATGCGCCAGTGAATCTTGCTCCAAACACTCAGAGGGACCTAGTTCTCTATCAAGACGACCAAACGCAGTCTAATGAATTACTCGATATTGACGACAAAGTTGACCCGTACCTGCTTGCATTGCAAACTTACGCATCAGCAAAAGATATGCCGCAACCACCCAAGTTATTTATACAGGATTTGGAAAAGAAAACGGTACTCCCCTCATTTAAACGTTTCAGTGGAAACGTAGATGAATATACGTTTGACCGTTTCTGGTCCAACTTTCAAAAAATCTATATTATCCCAACAAAGTACATCATGCCATCAGAAAGAATTGGCCTTCTTTTACTTTACCTTGAAGGGAAAGCAAACAATCTTGTGGACAGGGAACCAAACAAAACAGAAGAGTCCAATTACTGCAGAATCCTTAAAATTCTTATTGAAGAATATGGGAATATCCAGGCTACTCGGCAATGTGTCTTCAAGATGTTTGACAACCTCAAACCAGATGGCAACACAGCAGACAATATGGTGGAATATATGGAAAGAGTGGTTGATATAACCACCCAACTTCATAATTTACGCTCCAACATGCCTCAAGTTCATATACATCTGTGGCCAACCATCAAGCATAATTTGCGCAAGGGCGGACATCTTACGAACATTTTACATGAGTTGAAATTAAACCCCCCTCATCGCGCATCAGAATCCGCAACATGGGAAAGTACCCCGGCAAATTGGTACCGGTGGATTCGAAAATTTTTGAAAGCAGAAGCGCCAGAGGATGAAGTGTCTCCCACGGCGTTAACGTTTCTCAACGTTTCCACCAATAAACAAGGAAAAGAGAAGGAATCAAACAAACAATCCGACTTCAAGAATAAGGATGAAGATTCGGATTCAAGGAAAAGAAAAAATGAGGACCGCAGGAGTCCACAGCATTCAAGGGGTACCGACTCCTCACGTAAACATGACTATTCCTCAACACGAGAAAAGAAATCTTGAAGGAATCATAGTCGATCCGCAACACCGGACAAATTGGACTGTGAAGATCAGTCACCTCGTCGTTCTCAACAAATATCCAATTATAGAGGAAATGGATCTAACAGTTATTTGGATCATCAAAACAATTCGGGCAGCAAATTTGCTTGCCCCTTTTGTCAACAACGACATACCGCCTTCAAATGCATACTCAGTACACCTGAACGCATATCTGCAGTGAAAAGAAACAATTTGTGCTTTAACTGCCTCAGCTCTAACCACAATATTGCCAACTGTGGCTCCAGGGCAAGATGTTACACGTGCAACTCACCTCATCACTCATCATTATGCCTACAGGCCTATAATAATGGGCCTCAAGGTAACAACAATTACCGCGGGAGCAATAGCTACCGAAATAACAACGGATACCAAGGCAACCGTTTTGGAGCAACAAATCCTCTCGGAACTCATTCAGGTCTAACAACAAAAATGGAAGCAACTTCAACAACAACCGAAATCAAAACAACAACCAACGCAAAAACAATGAATGAAACAACAACAATCAAAAAAACAACAACCAAATTAACCGCAATGACGACTCCAGTAACAGGCGCAATGGCGGGCCTCAATCAAATAATCGATCAAATGAAAGAGACCCTCGCAACTTCGCATCAATCCTACAAGCCATTTCTGATTGCCTACCATTACCGCCACCGGCGTCGACATTGCCGGCACCGGCACACGCGGCACCAGCAGCAATAGTCAACCTTGCATGACTAGTTTGGGCAAATGTCGCAACAAGTTCTGTATCATACTCTCTTCTGGAAACCTCAACAATCAAAATACAACCACAGAACGTCGAGGTCCATGCGTTACTGGACACAGGGTCACAATTGACTCTGGTGATGCAAGCCCTTGTTCAGAGACTTCATCTATCTACATTACAAGCAGCCACAGCCCATACTATTGTGGGAATTGGCAATGCTTGTCTGCAGTCAACAACATTGGTTCAGCTGCATTTGCAGCCTAGAAACAATGCAAAATTCAACTTGGAGACTACAGCGGTTGTTGTACCCTTGCAAGAATCCTGGGGGGCAACCAACCCCCATACACTCTCACAGCTACAGGATTTCAAATATTTCCTAGCTGATCCACGCCTCCTCAAAAGCACCACTATCACGTTTGACATTGTGCTGGGGGGCAAGGATTTGGTGACAATATATCAACACGACCACGATCCTTATTGGTTGCATTCCACCTTCAGCATTGTACCATCAGAATTTGGGCTCATTGCCCGTGGAAATTGGGACAATCCTCATCCCCCCTAACAGGAAGACCATGCTTGCATGTCGTTTTTGGACATCCAACAGCATACCTTGATGAGGAACTTACCAACTTAACGATCGACTTCCTCAAGCAGGACCAAATTAATATTCTCAGGGATATCAACGAAGAAACCCCCTACGAAACGGACCAATACAAGGAATATCTCCAACAAATTACAATAAGCAATGAAGGAAGAGTAATTGCTCCACTCCTTAAATCCTATCTGTATCCGAAACATTGCCAGCCAAACTCCAACATGGCCGCAATTAGGAGCAAGTCAGTCATACGCCTCTTGGAAAAAGGTGGACCGCTTGCAGAAGCCTACAAAGACTTATTCTCACAGTGGATCAAGGATGGAGTCATTATTTCCAC